TATTATCGTGCTTTAGTTTTCGTTGTTAATTTTAGCCTATATTTGCCCCCCCCAGTTCTTCAAATTCATTTTGTTTCTAACTCATTTTCAACCACATTTCATGAAATTCAAAAATTTTATCAACTTTGAAATTATACAGTAGTCAAATTTCACCAAAATCTACCAAAACTCTAATTTTTATCCAAACCTAACATAAACTCAATGCATTCATTTATATGATGAATAATTGCATGACTTGTAAATTTGCAATGAAATCGAAATGTAATTTATGTATTTTTGCTAATAGAAAAATAGAAATTTCAAAATACCTCTCGTCCCACCCTATCGTGCATTGCCCAGCCATACATGACGATGGGAATCCTCTTCCCATTGGGTAATTGAGACGAGATGAGAAACATGATTCCAGTCCTGAATTCTCCAATTCCACTCCAAATGTTTTTATTTTGTGTTTTATATGTTTAATTTAATATAGCATATAAAAAATAACATTAAATGTAAAAAAAAGTAAATTCGATGGAGATTGTAAATGTGATATTTTAATTCTCGTTCCGTCTATATATGTAGAAGACCATAAATTTAGATGAGATAGAAATGTTTTTCTGTGTTTCTGTGTGATCGTGCATAGATTTCCTAGCTTTTAATATACTATTATTTATTTTAGTTCAAATAAGTCCTTGTTTGGTCTATATTATTTTCAAAATACATTTTTTCTCTTTTATTTTCAATCACATATTCTTCAATAAATAATATTATATGCAAATCCAAAAAAAAAAATTATTTTTTAACTCCACATTTTTCATCAATCTATTATGCCAAAATATATTATTAAAATAAAATGGAGCTCGAACATGAAGTGTATTTCTTGTTTAAAAGTAGTTGACTTTATTTAGACTATACATGTTTCTAACACTCATTCATCTGCGTGTTATAAACTTGACACGTCAAGTTTTTGTGTATATATAGTTGAGCTATTTGAAACTCATACGTATATATTGGCAAATTCAAAGTCCTAACATAAAAATGCTAGGATTTTGCTACTTGTGCAAAATAATAGTACATAAGTTGTTATCGAAAGTAACGTGGAGGGAAAAGATTGAATGAAAAAGTTGATGGTGTTTTAAACTTATAAATTGTAAAGTGTCATGTGGATATTATGTAATCCTTTACGTAAACCTTAATGCACATGTAACAATGTCTAAAATGCTATGCAATACAATTGATGATCGATCTATGCGGTAATATAGTAACATTATATGCTGAGTAATGTTATTTGACACTATTTGTGCGAATCACCATTCTAAATGGCATTGAAATATCATTAGATAAATATCATGGTGACTTACAACAATGAGTATCGATCCTTATACTATTGAGCTTTTACGGGACCTCAATATGATCCACAAGTTTAGAGAAACGATTTTACAATGAAATTCCTCTTTTAATAGATGATACGAATGAATTAAGCGCTAAGAAAGACTAACACTTCGATGAGTAGTAATAAATGATAATTCAAGTGTTAGATGAAAAATTTTGATGAATATGATAATAAAATATTTGATTCAATCAATCAAAGTTTTTCAATGAAAAAATGAAAAAGAAATAAATGAAATGTACGTTCAAAAATCTTCTCAAGATATATATATATATATATTTTAAGAAATGATTGTAATAAATTAAACACCAAGAGAGAAATGAGAAACTTTGATAAATATGATGATTTTACAAGTTTGATTCAATAAATCGAAGTTTTCAATATGAAGAAATATATACAATATAAGTTCAAAGATCTTTTTTGAAATATCTCTCTTTTATGAATAACAGAAATAAGTTAAGTACAAAAAGAGAGATGAAAGACTTTGATGACAATGATGATAATTAAAGAGTTTGAATCAAACAAAATTTTGATATGAAAAAATAAATGAAATGAATGGAAAGGAAAGCTCAAAAAATTCTCTAAAAAAAATCTTACTTTTATACTCTTAAATCTCTTTTTAAAAACGGAAGAGAGAGGATATTTATAGAGTTCAAAATGCCGAAAAAATCTCTAAGTTCGGATGACATGTTTGGTCGATTATCTCTTGTCCAGGTGACCAATATAGCCGTTCGTTCAGTAAAATCATATGTCAGAACGATAAAATTTTGGACTGTAGGAATTTTCGATCGACTGCCTTTGATCGACAGCCCCTTCCGACCAGTCAACCGCCAGCCAATTTTTCTTTTTACATTTTGGTCCCTTTTGATCCGATTTGAAGGTTTTGAAATAAAAATTAGAATGATTTTGAGTTTAAACATTCATTTTTTTTTAATTTAAATTTTATTATTCAAATAAATGTCTCACTTGTGGTGGAGGAAAAACCGTGGTTACATCTCAAAACAACTAAAACAAAAAACCTACAAATCGTTAACCTCGTAGGTATGGAAGTTCCCATCTGTCCGTTCTCAAAATGCCAAAGAGGATCATCGGCAAAATATATGCAGAGTAAAGTTCCAAGTCAGAACCACCTGCACCTTCCTTAGCAAGAAAATCAGCTGCCATATTCGCTTCTCTAAAGACATGGGACACTCGCGCATCCAACTTACCAATCAAACCCATGACATCCTCCCAAACATCATGCAAACTCCACATAGAGCATTTGCCATTCGAAGACACGCCATACTGGTGTGAAAAACCAGCAACAAATTTTCCTTGAGGGTCACGGATCAGTCCTCCACCCCTAGCTTTTCCTGGGTTTCCTCTAGCAACTCCATCAACATTTAATTTGAAACTGTAATGTANCCTATCCTTTGTAAACCAATAGTCATTTATTCAAAGCATATCATATATTTTAATTCAAGCATATCAATCTCATTTGCAAAGCAACTACCATCACATTTTCCCCCTTTTCAATGCTTTTTGAATTTATCTTACTCAATTTCTCCCTTTTGTCATAAGCAAAAAAGTAGCACATATGAGAATAAGAGTATGGCATATAAGATCAAAACTTTAAATCAATTATAGGAAATAATATATTCTCCCTCAATTAAATACAAAAAAGCAAATATATGCAAGTCTAAGCAAGATGATACTCATCACATTTATATCAAAATAATAATCAAAGTATAAGCATAATCAATTGGGTAATATTTAAAAAAAATAAAAAAATTAAAATCCCGCCAGTGATGCACATAGAATCAATCACATGAGAACATTTAGTACAAATTCAATTTAGCCACATACTTCAAATTCATCAATAATTTCCAACCCTCTTTAAATATATTAAAGTCTATCAAATGTTAGTAGTTTAGTGAGGAAGTCCAATATTCCTCCTTTTGGGTGCCTTTAGGATACTATAAACATAATGTCTTAGTGCACTAAGATATCTAAGCATTCGTTTTACGACAGTTAGGCATAATTCTTGAGTATTGGTTAAAATTTAGCACATAATCACACACAAGTTTACTTGTGATTAAGTAAAGAAGAGATCCGATCCTAAATCAATATTTTTTTATATTTATGGAAGTACCTTGATCATCTTTGTCTAACTTGATTGATGAGCTCATCAAAGTGTTCATTGATTTTACCTCTTTCATTTCAAACTTATTGAGCATGTTTATAATGTATTTTGTTTGACTTCATTCCTTAAGTAGAGATTGATTACTTTGTACTTCAGAAGATTTTTCTTCATCCTATTGCATATTTGCTTCTTCCTCATGTTGATCTTCAACATCTTTAGGATCTTCCTTGTTTTTGATT